GCAAACAATACTTTTTCGATATCAATATTCTTGGATTCCATGTCTTTAGTAATGGAATTGACTTTTTGTTCACTTCTTCGGATCGACTCTTTCAACGCTAAGATCTCGGAATCGATTTCCATTTGTCCCCTCTTTTGCAGATCTAAACGACAAACACATTCTCAGAATCAAAGACAACAGTAATCGTAGTCAACGACAACACCTGTCAAAGACTGGGAGAGTGTCTGTTGGCTATCGAGGAGACGATTACTGAGTTTCAGGTTTTGGTGTCTTAATTGAGACACGGATTGAGTCAACTGGAGATTCTCTTTCCTCCAGTTGTCTTCAATGGACTCCATTTCGAGCTCGTATTTGTCGAGACGAAGAGCTCTCTCGCGGCGTTCGCTCTCCAACTCGAACACCGAGTGCTTCAGTGAATCCAACTTCGAGTCGAAGTCCTCCTTAAGAATGGTAATCATCTCCAAGTGTTCCAACACTCGGATCACTTTCGGCATCAAGTGCTTCACCGAATCGGATCCGCCCGACACTATCACCTTCTGGAACTCGTCGCCGATCTCAGCCGCCAAGTCGTACACGTCCTCCACATCGATGTCACCACTCTTTCGGTCCATTAGAAGGGATTTGATTCAATCGATTCGCCAAATATTGGGATCTGATTGAAGTGACGAAGAGTTCACACATTCATCGGTCAAACATTGGATCCAATAATCACTTCAACTGTGATTCGAATCTAATATTTCAAACTATTTTTGAAATATGAGTCACTCGTCGACTCAATTCACTCCTATATTCTCTACACAAATATACGACAGAATTGAGTGTTGAGTAGACGTGAGAGTCATTGAGTCAATACTCGTTCTTCCATTCATACGATCCGACCTTCAGTTCTGACATTGAGTTCAATATATGATTGCATTCACTGAATCGTTCACTAAATTGACCATGCTCATTATTCAATCTGGTATTGCATTTATGTGATTTAATAAGATCTATATTTTAGAATTAAGATTTTATTTGAATGCAATTTAATTATAATGATTGTAAAATTGCATTTTTATGATACATTAATTCTTTAATAATTATACTGTAATTAGATTTGCAAATAATGCAAAATACGTAAACCAATAGTGATTTATTATAATTAGTAAATCATAATTATTCTTAAGTTTTGTCAACCAATGAATTAAATTCATAGATATTATGTAAATATAGTTACAATTAATTAGAATATTAAGCATTTATAAGAATCTTAAATCCAAATATAATTTACATGTTTTCTCACAAATAAGTCTTAAGATTAAGTTTTTATTTGTTATACAATTACAACAAAATATAGTGTAATTCAATATATGGCTCAAAATGATTAAACAAAAGTACGGAATATTCCTAAATATAGCCCAATATTGGTTGTGAACCCGACTATTGAGAAGCGAATACTAAACAAATACATGTATAGACTAATCACTAATGCCTCATATCATATGTAATTAAAGTAAACTTTGTTTTATCGGTCGATCAGTGAATGCAAAAAGTGATTAACATTTACAGCATATGAGACCACAATATGTCTGTATTTGACAGCACTTCCACTCATCACAAATCCATACAATTATAATCCCAGTTAACATTCTGTGCATCAAAAGGGGAACAAATATAGTTCACGTTATTTGTAACATAGTTTGCGACCAATTGTACACATTTTCAGTCATATATTCATTAAATAACGTCAACCAAAATAGGGTTGAAAACCATTGACTCAAATAATTTGTGAGAACAAGACATGAGAGGGTAATGAGAAAAACAGGTAATCGTAACGCTATAACTGAATGGGCGTGAAGTGCGGCCAATAGAGCGCACGCGCAGTGAAGGCATCGGAGGGTATATAAAGCGATCACACATTTCCACTTCCTTTCCATTCAAAACGTGTTAACCAATGGTTTGTACTTTGAATTCAATCATTCAATTGATCGCTAATTGCAATGCAATTAAGCGTTAGTTTGGACTCAATTAACCTCTGA